TCGTTCGAAATTACTCAGATAAGGCGAATGAAAGCCAGAGCATATTAAGTTACCAATAAGATACGCCTGAGTTTTCATATATTTTTTGACATGACATCTGTCCTTTTTTCTGAGAAAACGGTTCACCAAATTTTAAATCTGCTTAAACTAGAATAAGAGCAGAAAATGTTTCACTTTATAGTTGCCCTTATATTAGTGTTAAAATAATTTTAAACTAGCATTTAAAAGCTGATAACTTCCGAAATCAAGCTCGAGAGGGAGGGGGAGATTTTACTCATCCCGACCTATCCAATCGAACAAAACCGAACAAAAAACCAATCGAACCCAATCGAACTCCAATCGTTCGATTGGGTTGGGCAATCGAACAAAATCGAACACCTATTTTGCTGTGAGTTCGATTTTCGAACTCTAATGCAATGCAATTGTCTCTTGACGCCTCAAACTGAGTAAAACACGTGGAATATAATCATTGTCAGCTTTTATTGAATAAACAGGAACTGAACATCATACTGCAAGAATGTCAATGTTCGAACAAAACAGGAACTGAACATCATACTGCAAGAATGACAATGTTAGAACAAAACAAAACAAATAAAAGGCAATTTCGATGACTGTTAAGGTACTGTGACTGTTAAAAGGAAATGCTTCTCAACAGAGAAAAATCGCACCATTTCAAATTAGTATTATAATAAGCAGAAGGGACCTCGCTGCAGCCATTATACCAATCGTTCGGTAATCGAACGCTCGACTGGGTTCGATTACCAATCGTTCGGTAATCGAACGTTCGATTGTGTTCGATTGGTGTTCGATTGGGTTCGATTGCCGAACTGTTCGATTGGATAGGTCGGGACTCATGTGAAAGCGGTGGACATGCTCGTTGTCTTCGGAGATGTTAATTTAGCTTGAGACCGCATGGTGTTCAGGACAGGTCGCTAAGATTTTCTTATCGTTTACATGCAGCTGTGTATGAACAAATGAAAAGCGAACTGAGAGAAGAGAGACCTTAAGATCTGACGACGGCGACAACTTTGCACGTGCATTACGCTTTTCGGTACATTACTATGGCGTCCCTACACAACTATGACTTTAAAATGCGTGATTTCACGCTTTATGGAGGACGTAAACAGGCGATGACGAAATTTTCTTGGACTTGAACTCCAGAAGAGTTCCCCTATCTTTGACAAAGTAAGTGAATTGAAATAAACGCGATGAAAATTGAAAGAACGTGTAAACAACTTTTTTCCCGCAGCCGTCGTCCTCCAATCTCGAGGTCTCTCAAGAAAGAAAGAATAAAAAATCTTTCAGTGACAAAGAGCTTTATCGATCGCGACTAGAAATTAATTCTGGAAAAGCTCTTATCAGTGTCTTTCTGTTTAAGAATAGTATCGTTAAACCCAGTCAAATAAATCCTGAGCCACAGCCACTTTGGTCTCTGAGTGTTTAGTTCTAACTTTCCGACCAGCATTCGCCCTTTCTCCCCATCCCCAGCACATGACTCATGATTATTTTATTTAATTTGGTGAGTAACTGCTATGGTACTACTTGCAGTCCTTGGCCCAGTTGTTCGAGGGTTGCGAATTAGCTCTAACCCAAGGTTAAATTTTAATCCAGGTACCTTTTCTTTTGTTCAAAGCATTTTCTCGGATAATTTTCCCTATTCTTTTCAGAACATCCGATCATCAAATTGTAGACAAAAAGACTTAAAACTGAAGTTACTTTTTACTCTTTCATTTCTGGATTCAAATTTTGCCTGACTAACCGAGGGTTATAATTAAACCAACATTGAACAACCTGGCCTTGGCTGATTATGCAAAGACTTGCTTAATTGAGGAATGCTTAGTCAATAACGCGTATTTTCGCCATGAAATGATAACATAGTTTTAAAGTTATTGTAGACATGGTCCAAGTCGGTTCTTTGTTCTCTTCGTGTGCTAAGAAAAAGAACAGAGCTTGTTGTGAAAGCTTTGAATATTAGAAAATCATTGCCTGATAGCGAAGAGTAACTTATAGCACTTTACACTGAAGGAGATTTTTCCGGATTCATCAGTGTTTCCGGGTGTAACATATTTAGGGTATTCGAATTCGCCAGCGTTTGCACTCATCAATAAGTCCGGGAGCATTCTTGGGATAGCAGGTAGTCACTTTAGATTATGAATTCAAAATCTCTGGACACGCGACCAGAGTTTGCGCAAGTTGGAGTGGAGCCTGGAAACGAGATTGGTTTTTTACTGCATCTGCTTTAAAAAAATTAAACGAATACGATACCAAAATGTCCTGGATTAGGCTTTGGTAGATTGTGCTCGAAAAAAAAGCATATTATGCTTTTAGCAGTGCTCATATTTTTTAGAAATTATGCCAAAACGATGCTACTTTCTGAAAATTATGCTCTCTGTCACCGAAATTATGCTACTTAGATTTTACACTGATTTTAAGGAAAATAAAGATCATCAGTAGCTTAACTCTATCAATTTTGACTTTAATGAACATTCATATGGTCCACATTCCACTCTTACAGTCTTTAGCATGGCAAATACGCATGTGCGCACATGATCTCGCTTTTTTGTCACTTTAAACTTCTCTTTGCCTGCGACATGTTTTTTGGAAGCCAAGTGGTTTTTGAGAACGCTCTTTTTAGAGCTCAATATCTCCTTACAACAATTGCAAAACAGTTTTCCACCTCGAAGACACAAATTTTCCCCCGGGAATTCTTCGATTCGATCACGAGGACTCATGTTCTTTGGATCTGAGTTTCCTCTTTCCTTGTACTTTCCGGTATTACGTTTTGGAACCCTTTCTCTAGAGATTAAAGCTCTCCTGGAAGTGGTGGAAGTGGTGGAAGTGGATGTACTCGAGGACGACGCCATCTGAGAGGCTGAGCCGCCGAGCCATAAGCGTGTGGTGGCCTGAGTCTCAGTCTTATGCACACGGTGACCTCTGCCGCCTGCCAGACCATATTTGACCATGGGCCTTAGCACAGACCTCAATATTTTCCAAAAACAATACAGAAATAAAATACAAACTGAATTATTCTAGAGCTATGATGGGTTTTTTTGTTTTCAACGCATAAAAGCTCGGATAATGCTAGCTGTGCTAAACTGAAATAAAAGCTTAAAATAATGCTCGTTTTGCTGAATTATGCTTAAAATTATGCTAGCACAATCTACCAAAGCCTATCCTGGATTCGCCACGAAAGCGGAAAAAATCTCCTCTAGTGTTAATTGATAGCCCAAGTGTCATGTAATGATATATACTCAGTACGTGTACCAGTGTATCAGACGTAATTAAAGTTTAAGATATTGCTTGTTTATCGCTGGCGTTTGATCAATATCTTTTTTCGGGGGTTGTTGGTGAGGGTTCGTAAACCTGGCCCTGTTCTAGGACTAAAAGAAACTTAATATACCTATCATGCATAGGTCCACAAGCTCTGTTTTGGAACACCCTTTTGGACATTTCGCTTGTATTTTATAAAAAAAAAGCACACACACACACACACAAAAGTCACAGCAAGGTTATGAGCTGAAAAACAGAAACCCCGGCCTGGGACCCGTTTCTCGAAACTCCCGGCAATTTTTTGTGCCCGAAATCAAACATTCAAATAAAAATTCTGAAAATAAAAAAAAGCTAGGTCCTAGCTAAAAGAGCAGATATGCTTCTTTTTAACTGATATTTTTATCATATTATCTTCACAACTATTGAATCCTCGATCTTAAAAATAAGTGATATTAGGCTAATCATATGTCTTGACTCGTCTGCGAGCGGGCAAAATGAAGTTCTTTTTTAAGCTCGTGCCTTTTTGAGCGGGCAAGATGGGCCTCTCTTTCCTTCAATGTTCCCTCAAATAACGTCCTCTTGGTTGGAGGTTAGATAGAGATTGTATTGCAACAGTCAAATCAGTTTTAAATTGATAATCTTGAGTTTATTTCCCGATTTTCATTTCTTTACATTTAAATGTTTCGATTGCCCATTTCACTTCATCTTTCAGCGGCAAAGTGTGTCACACTCCACGGTAGTTTTACTTTCTCCTCCCTGAAAAACATAAAATGCTATTAAGAAAAAACTAGGATCCTTTCCCGGAAAAGCCAAGACTAATAGAGAAACAGAAGAATAAAAGGGGCTTTTATCACCTGGTTCCTACACTGGGTGTCAGAGACTTTTCACGCTCGGTTTCCGGTTTCGATCAGCGCCGCTCATGGCTTAAGCTTTCGGCTGAACATCTGTCGGCCTGCGGTCGACACCGAAGTATTCCGTTGAAGGCGAGAAAAATCTCTGGTAGGCAGGGTGTCTATTATCCAGGGCCTTTTCTACGCCTCCTGAAATGAGAGGGGACGAAAAGAAAACAAGAGTCTCCAGGAAGAAGATTGGAGTTTTAAAGGTAACTTAGTGATTAGCCTGCCAGCAAGCTCTCCTAGGGGTCCCGGGGCAGGCTACTGTATAGTGATATAAGTTTTATACCTTTATCCGGTCCGAAAAGGAGACGGAAAGTGAGTGGAATTGTATCGCTTTTTCCTTCTGCATTCTTGTTTCGTGTTGTTTTCTCTCTGCTTTTTAATTGTCTGGCCCTTCTAAATCTAACATTGCTCATTTACGGTTCTGAAGAATTTTTATGCGTTTCTAATTTATTTTAATACTAACAAAACTTACTTTCTGGCTCTATTTACCTGCAAAACAAATCAAGATGTCTTATTAAACCATTCTTTCTGCGAATAGTCAGCTTTTTAGTTGTTATGACTCTTCTATAAATTAACGAATCGATCATAACTGTTCATTTACCTTGAAGTAAAAAGGTTTGTTCTAAAAGGGACTTTGCCAGAAAGTTCCTTCTTTAAGACTGACTTTCTTCTTAACATCATTGACTGCCCGAGTCATCATTTTGAGGGTGATGCCTTACTGAACCTTGGAAAAGTCATTTCATCCCCAGCGTCATTTTGCTTCAGTTTAAAGTGCGGTGCTTTTCTTCCCTTTTGTAAAGTTAGCTTTCTTTGAACAGTGTTTGAAAGCGTTTAACTGTTCAGTTTTACAGTTCCTAGACCTCGAGCTACATTTTGTAAAACGATATTTTTGGGTATAAGTTAACACCAAAATGAAAATACCTTTATCGAATAAGGAACGTTAATGAATCATCAAGCATTGCTATTTTAAAATATTTTAATTATTATTATCACTAAGTAGAGTGTTTTGAATTGTTATATAAATACGTTCTACTGGAATGTACTGTGCTTACAAAAGCTATTTGTTTTTCGTTAATAAGGTTTGGCCTTTCTCTGTAAAGATGCTCTTTTGGACGTCGGTTTTTCTTTGCACACGTGCCGCTATTCAATTAAGAAATGATGCTTTTTGTTTAAACTGAACCCACACAGAGGTTCGTAATCTAATTAGTTCTGGTAAATTTAACGACATTTGTTTGTTATCTTACATTAATTGGCTTAATTGGTTTTTCCTAAATCTTCAGAAGCTTGACCTTACCAAGTTGTCTTTTCCTCGACATTCCTATTTTTACTATCTTTCGCGTATTTAGTGGTTTGATCGACACTTCAGTGCGCTTCCAAAAGAAAACCTTGTCCAACAAACTATCTTAGTTAACTCGTTGTGATAAACAACCTTTTGTTACTGCCTAGTTCAATTTACTTGCTAAAAGTTGTAACGAGTGATATCTTTGTTTAAAGGCTTTCGCAATGTAAATATCTTGCTAATTGATTTTTGACTAGGGATTTGTAAACAATCTTTTAGTTAATATATGGAAAAAGGCGGGACTAATTACCATTGTACGATATTCCAAGAAGAAGCTTTTAAACGACAACTTAAGCACTGTACGGGAATTGACAAATTGTACATTTTAGAGTAACGATATTGTACATATGTGATTTCCATTCATGTAAACATTCCTTGTAATTTTTGTGTCTCTCTGACTGTTTTGTTTTGACTGGACAATTATTGGACAAAAGTGAATTTTGGAGTTTTAACTGATTTTCCTATTACGACACAACCTCGAAGGAAAATATGTTAATAATTCTTATAGCCAATCGAATTTTTACTGATGTAAGATTATTTTAAGTTGAGTAAGATTGGCAGCCTTCAGATTCAGTCAAGATAAAAGGAGTTGTAACTAGGTCTTGTCAGAGAGAGATACTGCTAGCCTTGATTGTGAAAAGTTGAGCAACAAGTTATCTACATTAAAACAGTTTAAAGAGACAAAAAGTTTGAGTTCATTGTAGAGGATTACTGTTCCCCCAAGTTTCCTACTACAATTTGAAGAGTTCTTACCGTAAAGGGATTGAATACCAGCGATATCATCTGGTTCAAGACTTAAATTAGGATGGTAAAAATCTGGGTAGTATGGGAACATAATGGCATCTCTGTCACTTGAATGATCCAGACCAAGCACGTGACCAAATTCGTGGGTGGCAGTCCACAGAAGGTTTGTACCCCGGGGACTGTTGTGGGTGAATGTTTCGGCTTCATCGAAGTGAGCACGGCCATCTTCAGGCATGAACGCATGCGCAAGCTGTCCACCAGGCCCATCGAATCGATCTGGGCATCTTTTTCCGTCCCCCCCTGGGTGGTTTCTATTACCAAAACTGAGAACAGAAATTTAAAAGTAAAATGTCCACGCTCTCAGTAAAGCTCACGAGTACCGGGCGCTAACTATAAACACGCAAGTACCGGGATATCAAACGTTTCAGTTATCACATGCTGTTTTACTTTGGAATTTTAACAGCTGGACTTCCTATTTGTTAGATCACTTCCCACTACAGTCGAAAACCTTGTTATGTGACGCCCTATTTAAAAGAGTAACATTCGTTTCTGCCTTTCAACCACTCCAGTTAGAATCCTTGTGAAAACGAATTAAGCTGTTGCGTTCAAGGTAATTCCTTTGCATAATGTTTCCTTTTCCGATCAGGGGACCTTTCCCTTATATTCTTGGCTTAGCATTTTAAAATCAAGACGTCTTCATGGGCTTTGAATTTATGCTTTATAAGATCAATAAAGGCAAATCAACTGTTTTATCTTTACTCTGGGCTGAATATGTGTATTTTCGCTTATCCTAAAGGCGTTAGGAAAGCGGTCACGTTTCAGGCCTGGAGTCTGCGTTCGCCTGTCGTTCAATCAATGAAATTTTTAATTAAAATTGGGTTGTTTTTAGCGGAGCTCTTGAGGGCCCCAAAGCGCGCATCGGTGCGCCATGGGTAAGAAATTTTTGGTGGTCACGTGACCGCACGTCCGCCTGTCCATTCGCAACAAAGTGAGCTTTTTAGCTTGTGTGGGAGCCTGCATTCTGACCAATCTGTGTTAGAACTTGTTGATAGACGTAGATTTTATGGTCAGTTGACACTGACACCTGTCACGATATCCGCTGACTAGTATCACATGACCTTATCGTGGTCCCAGGTTTCAACTAATCGAGACCACGTCTTTTATTACGGTTTTTCGCTGACCATCTATAACCTTTTAATTGATTGCAGGCTCAAGTTCCATTTTTTCAGCAGCAATTGTTCCTTGTCTGTTGAGCCTCTCCCTCCAACGTCACATGGGCCTCCTCTAAGTTAAGTATGAACAGGAGCCCATAACCCGAAGCGAGCAACAACTCCCATCCTAGGCCTATGTCACGGCGTCTTTACGGACCAGTTTATTTTCAGACACATTTTAGGGCACTTTTTCCCACGAAAATAGAATCTCCACCATGTCTATGAGCGCATTCGAAGTATAAGATATAAAAAGGGAAAACTAAATGTTATTAAAAGGCAAAAATTTGCGGAGTTTAAAAGATATTCAAAATTCGCACCAAAACCGTTCTGAAAATAAACTGGTCAGTGAAAACGCCGTGCCAGGAGCACATGGAAGTTGCTCGCTTCGGGTTATGAGCTCCTGGTATAGATCTGTGGATTCTTCTCAATAGTTTCAAGTTTACTGTTTGAAGTAAACCACGACTGTGACGGGAGCTTCGCTTTTACCTCTAGCTAAATCTATATGTTAGTCTTACATTCTCTTTAACTTCCAATGAAAACTCAGAGGGTAAAAGATGTTAAATTTTACCTTATCTTTATGTCGGCAGAGAGTCCATTTCTCGCTTTAGAGAAAGACAACCCCGATACATCGGACCAGAGCTTCAGGGCTTTAGCAAATATTTTGTCTTGAGTTGATCTCTTTAAATCAGAACCATATTTCCTCACAAAGTAAGTCAGATGTGTTTTACTCCATTTGGAATTGGCAGCAAAACGTTTGACGCGGCCTCTAAAATCTGGCATTCCACAACGAGGTTTCTTCATTTGTTCGATAGTGGGCTTATCCAGAATACCAGTAACATGCAAACCAGTAAATTGTTGGAACTTTTTTAAAGCTGAATTCATGTAATTTCCAGAACGTGTCGAAGACATGTATTGATACTTCTTCAAGAAATTCTGACGAAAGAAAAACCGATTTAATTAGTAATATCGATAATTCCACGGCAGTTGAAGGACTGCAACGCCCCAATTTACCCACTCCCCCCTCACAATAGTTAAACTTTTGTAACATCCAAGACACGATGACGTAAACCTTTGCCTTATACATGCTAGACAAGGATTTTAGGACGGCTTAAAAACGGAGGGTTTACATCTGAAGGGGTTTATAACAAGAATAGAAAAAGCGGTTAGCTTCGAAACTATCTAGAGCACTGCTGATCAAAATACTTTTTGTAATTACAAGTTTTTAATTGAACTTCAA